CACCAGGACAGCTCCTAAGGGAAGAGACTATTTTATCTACCACCTTTATCTGCAGTAACTGACTCATTACAAGCCAGAAATGACATTCAATAAAGTTCACTAAATGGTGGATGAATTAATAACTGATTAGTTAGAGTAACAGGAAGAAAAGAGCATACATAATATTTGAAGCAATATAAGCCTTGATGTTTTGTTTTAATCTCTCTGAGTCTCAGATTCTTCCTCCATAAAAGAAGGATAGTTTCTATCTCTGAAGATTAAGTAACATGTAAAATGTCATTAGTAGGGTGCCAACAACAAAGCAGGCATTCATTGAATGATATACACACACAATTTCTACCTTATATACACTGTGTGTGTGTGCAAACCTGGCTTTTTGCTCAAGAGGCAATACATTGATCTGTCTATGACTGCTAGTGGCATGACTACTTTTATAATCTCTTTTCTTCTGTCTTTCATTCCAACTGTCAAATTAGGTAAAGCTGTCCTTGCTGTTGGCTTTCACTCACAGACACAAGGAGGTGATAAGGAAAGCTTCAGTCCAACAAGAATGTGAGCTCTGTGTGGATAATGTAGAGTTTTTGGTCCTCTTTTTGTGACCTTCTATATACTTAGGTCCTAAAGCAATGCTCAGTAAATATACATTGAAAGTTGAATGAATTTGCTTTTGGACCCAAGAAATGAGGAAGTCATACTGGAGAAAACATTTAAAATCACATTTGGCCCAGCGTTTTCACAGATTCAACCTAAATGCCTATCAACAGAAGACTGGATAAAGAAATTCTGGGATATGTACTCTACAGAATACTATACAGCAGTCAAAAATGAAATCTGGTCATTTGCAACAAATGGAGGAATCTGGAAAACATCATGCTGAGTGAAATAAGTGAGTCCCAAAGGGATAAATATCATATGTTCTCCCTGATCAGTGACAACTAACTGAGCATCTAAAAGGAAACCTGATGAAGTGAAATGGACACCATGAGAAACAATGACTTGATCAGCCTTTGTCCTGACTATCGAGGAACAACTTAATACTTTATTCCTTTTAGTATTTTTTTTCAACTTAATACCATTGGTTGAACTCTTTAATTAATACACAATGATTCCTAGGTGTTTAAATTTAATTGAAAAGTGATCCCCGTTAAATATAATAGTGGGAATAAGAGAGGGAGGAGATGTACAGTTCAGCACATGCTCAATCAGACTTATCCCTAATGGTAGAGTTAGAAACATACCAGGGGATTACAATTCAATCCCATCAAAGTGGCATGTACCAATGCCATCTCACTAGTCCAAGTGATCAATTTCTGTTCATAATTGATCATACTGATAGGTCTAAGAGTCAAAGGGATCACATAAACAAGACTAGTGTCTGCTAATACTAACCAATAGAATAAAAAAAGGGAGAGAACAATCCAACATGGGAAGAGGGATACACAACAGACTCATAGAATGGCAGATGTCCTAAACAGCACTCTGGCCTCAGAATCAGCTGTTAAGGCATTCAAATCTGGATAAAAAGCCCATGAGAGTATTTTAGGCATGGAAAGCTAAGACACTATGGCAAACAACAACAACAACAACAACAACAACAACTAAATAACCTAAATGAACGATCACTGTGAGTGAGATCCCAATGGAAAGAATGGGCCATCAAAGAAGGAGGTACCTTTCTCTGAAGGGAGGAATGGACTTCCACTTTGACTATGGCCTTGTCTAAATAAGATCAGAGTTGGCAAACTCAAAAGGCCTCCATAGCCTTGGCAACTCATGACAAGAGCCTAGAGTGATTACTGACGCCATAAATAAGAGTGTCAATTGTTAAGTCAACAACAGGAGTCACTGTGCACTTACTCTCCATGTTAGATCTCTGTCCTTATTGTGTTGTACTATGTGAATTAACAGTATAACTAGTACTGAAACAGTATTTTACACTTTGTGTTCTGTGTGGGTGCAAACTGTTGAATTCTTTACTTAGTATATACTAAATTGATCTTCTGTATATGAAGATAATTGAAAATGAATCTTTACGTGAATGGGATGGGAGAGAGAGTGGGAGATGGGATGGTTGCAGTTGGGAGGAAGGTTATGGGAAGAAAAAGCCACTATAATCCAAAAGTTGTACTTTGGAAATTTATATTTATTAAATAAAAGTTAAAATAAAGATACAGAACTTTGCAACATCACGAGTGTACCCTAATGTATGCTATGGACTTTATTTAGTAGTAGTGTACCAACACTGGTTTATCAATTGAAACAAGTTACCACATAACTATTAATAATACACATAGTGGGAACAACAAGAACAAGAGAGAACATATGGCAACCCTTGGCATATTCTGCTCAATTTTTCTTCAAATCCAAATTCATCTAAAAAATAAAAACTATTACCTACCTAAATTTAGAAATGTTTAAAACAAATATGTATCTAAAGGAAATTGTATTCTTAAGACATAGTTGGGGTAGGATTGGAACAGTAATTATATGAATAATATTTTTTATTTTTAACTGAAATTAAAATGTGCATATCTACATGGTACTCTGTGACATTTAGGTACATTTATACATTGTGTGATGTCCAGTTAGGGTAAACATATACATTTTCTGAAATAGTAATCATTCTCTGTGGTGAAAACATTTAAAATCTTTCCTTCCAGTTTATTTTTAGAAAAATATATAGTACATTTTCATTCTGGACAATTTTTACAGCACCATTCAGCTGTAGAAATCAAGAAATCATTAAAAAGAATGTTTTTTAAAATTCTTGCTATTTATTTTTCTTACTACATTTAACTTCATCACCTGGGTGAAGTCAGGATATGTTGGAAATACATCCTATGGCTCACTATGTTCCCACATAAATGATGCAATAGAAAAATAGCACACAGGCAAAGGAAATGATTAGACTTTGTTATTACAAAGAAAATTTTTGGTATACCACTTAATACATTGTAAATTAGACCTTGTACCCCAGGATCTCACATCTGTCTTCCTGCCATCTAATTTTTCTCTGTCAGAATGTTAGAGCCAACATAAAATACCTTAAAGACTTTTTACACACAGCATTCATATTTGAATCCTGAGTTTTTAGTCTCGCTGTGGTGATGTCATTCAGATGGCAAATGCATAGAAAATGATTGGACTGAAGTGCCCATATTCAATAAAACCCTGAAATGGGTTACTTGGCTTTTATTGCTCCATTTCCTCACTTTTCTTCATCCTCCCTTTTCCCTCATGGTATTTGTGTGTGACCATTACATTTAGAGAAATGGGGAGATGGTAAAGTGTTTGAATTAGAGTGAATGGTAGGACAACATATTTACATTTCAATAAATAATATTTGTGGAAAAACAGCAGAATGTAGCAAACATGGACATACATTGACCTACTAAGAGGCAGATATGGTCTTGTAGGTTTGAGATGATTCTTTCTTCCAAAGGAAATCAGCTTTTAGCAGTTGATAATCCCTTCTCTAAAAGGAAGGAGTAAAATTTCAAATTCTTTTAACAATTGTATAAGTAGTGCATTTTGAATAGTCCCAATGCACCTTAAATTATCTTTAAATATTAATATACTTTTTTAAATTAAGGTAAAAAAATGCAATGAATCTCATTGTTTTTAATTTGATTACTCACTTAATGACGTTTGGGCCATAGAATCCACATCTCATACTCTAATTGCTGGGGTAAATTTAGACCCCATTTTTCATCTGATGGACTGCATTTTAGGCTCAGTACAGTTATGTGATTTTCCAAATTTCAAACAATCCTTTAAATTTCATTGGCAAAAAAGATGGCAAAAATATGCTGGATTTTGTACAAAATGTATCATATGGTTTAATCTGTAAGTGCAATAAGGCTCATTTATTCATAAACTAAATTTAGTACACTTTTGAAGAGCTACTGAGCTCTTAGCATAATGCTCAGCATAATGCAGAATACACTGCTGTAGGAGTAGAAATTAGCATAGCCACTATCCAAAATAGTATGAAGATTCATTTGAAATCTAGAAATAGGACTTCTATATAACCAGCAACCCCTTCACTGAGTATATACCAAAAAGACCTGAAATTATTGCAATAGAGTTACCTGCACTTCCTTGCTTATTGTAGCAGCATTCACAATAGGCAGATATGAAATCAACCAAGCTGTCTATCATAAGGTGAAAGGATAAAGAAATGGAGGTATAGACACACAATAGAACATTATTCAACCATAAAAAAGAATGAAATCCTGTCACTTGCAGCAAAATTGATGGAATTGGAAGAAATGTTAATGAAGTAAGTCAAACACAGAAAGGAAAATACCGTACATTTTTCTTCATATGTTGAAGTTAAAGAAAACTTAATTTGAACACAGAATAGTGATTACTAGAGCCTGGGAGGGAAAGTAGGGGATACAGTGAGTTTGGATAATGAGTATCAAATTAATTAAACTAAGGGCCCAAGTTTCTAATATTGCACAGCAAAATGGGGTGACTATAGTTCATAATAAACTATTATGTATTTTATGAGAAAATAGAAGAAAAGAGCTCCAAGATTCCAAGCATAAAGTAACACCAAAGAAGATGAAATGTTGATTAATTTGATTTGATCAGTATGGCTTGTATACATATAATGAAATGTTACTCTATAGTCCATAAATATGTACAATTTAGTTAAAAATAAATATTTTCCATGTTAAAAAATCTGAAGTGATACAATCAATATTTAAAGGAAAATATAGAGGAGGTAAAACATACACAGTATGTTTTCATACATACATACAGGTACATAAGAAACAGCATACCAACACTGCATAACCTCTGTTTATATACCTATTGCATAGTGACTTGCAATCACATAATATTTGCTTTTACAAAAAATTCTATAAAATGCCAGAAATAGAATTCATAGTAATGATCCTAAGAAAATTCAACATGATACCAGGAAATACAGATAGTTTAAAGAAATGGGGCGGGGAGGGCCGGCACCGCAGCTCACTTGGCTAATCCTCTACCTGTGGCGCCAGCACCCCGGGTTCTAGTCCTGGTTGGGGCGCTGGATTCTGCCCCGGTTGCTCCTCTTCCAGTCCAGCTCTCTGCTGTGGCCCGAGAAGGCAGTGGAGGTTGGCCCAAGTGCTTGGGCCCTGCACCTCATGGGAGACCAGGAGGAAGCACCTGGCTCCTGGCTTCGGACCTTTCTCTCTGTCTCTCTCTCTCTCTCTCACTGTCTAACTCTGCCTGTAAAAAAAAGAAAGAAAGAAAAAAGAAATGAGGGGGGAAATGGGTGAGATGAATAAAAAATTCACTATGAAGATAGAAATCATTAAAAATTCTGAACAGAAATTTTGAAGCTGAAAACTTCAATTAATGAAATAAAAATATAATGATTTTGACAGCAGAATAAATAAAACAAAGAAAAGGACAAAGCCTATTGAAATAACCCAGTCACATATAAATAAAATGAAAAAAAAAAGAATTAAGAAAACCTACTTCGAATATGATGTACCATTAAATCACAAAATATGTGCATTATATGAATTTCTGAGAGAAAAGAGAAGGAAAAGGCATTTAGAAACTGCTACATAAAATAGTTGAAATTTTCCTATGTAATAAAAGGCATGTGGATATCCAGATACAGGAAACCCAAAGGACCCCATGCAGACTCAACCAAAAATTACCTTCTCCAAGACATTTTATAGTCTAATTGTCAAAAGTTAAGGACAAGGAGGGATTCTTAAGTGCAAAAAATATAAAAGCATTGAGTTATATATAAAGGAATAATAATTAGGCTAACACAGACTGCATTTAAGTGGTGTTGCTTGTAATGTCTCCATTTCAACTCTAATTTTATTTATTTGAATTTTTTTCTCTTTAATTCTTTGTTGGTCTGATATACTGTTTTATCTACCCAAAACCAGCTTTTGTTCTTGATCCTTTGTTCCAATTTTACTTATTTATTTTCTGACCTTATTTCTTATACCCTGCTAATTTTAAATTAGATTTATTCTTGTTTTACTGTTTTCAAGACACATTGTTGGATAATTTATTTGAGACATTGCTCTTTTTTAATATAAGCACTTAATGCTCTAAACATCCCTCTTAATTACTGCTTTTGCGGTGTCACACAGGTTTTGATATATTGTGTTTTCATTTTCACTTATTTTGAGAAAGTTTTAGATTTCCTGTTTAATTTCTATTATGATCTATGGATCACTCAGTAGTATGCAACTAATTTCATTATATTTCTAAATGTTCTATTGTTCTTTTTTGTTGAATTCTAATTTCATTTCTTTGTGATATGAGAAAAAGATATGATTTCAAATTTTTTTTAATTTACTGAGACTTGAGTTATGGCTTAATATATTGATTTGTCATAGAAAACGTTCCATGTGCTAATGAGAAAAATGTTATTCTGTACCTGGTGGGTGAAATGTCCTGTAAATTTCTGTCAGGTCCATTTGTTCAATAATATGGTTCAAGTCTGATGTATCTTTGTTTATCTTCTGTCTGGAACATCTATTCTTTAATAGCAGAGGGATGTTGAAGTCAACCACTATTATTGTATTGGTGTCAATCTCTCTCTTTAAGTGTAATATCTGTGTGTTCTTGTTTTGGGATTGTTTATGTTTATTACTGTTACATCTTCTTAGAGAATTGAGCTTTTATCAATATAACTTCCTTTTGTATCTTTTTACTTTTTGATTTAAAGTCTGTTTTATGTGATATGAGCATAGCTATTCCTACTAAATTTTGGTTTCCATTTGCCTGTATCTTTTCCCAGCCCTTAACTTCAAATCTATCTGTATCTTTATTAGTGAAGTGAGTTTCTTATAAGCAGTATGTAGTCAGGTCTGATTTTTTGTAATCCATTTGGCCAACCTAAATTTTTTGGTAGGAGAATTTAATCTATTTACATTCAAGGTTAGTATTGATATATAAAGACTAACATTTGTCATTTTGTTGACTGGTCACTGATTTATTCTTGTCTGTTAGTGAATTTGGTAGTGTCATACGTTTCCTTGTTCACTTCTAATGTAGGAATCCTTTTAGAATTTCCTGTAAGGCTGGTCTGGCGGTGGTGAAATACAATTTCTTGTAAGGTGGTCTGGAGGAAAATACCTAATTTCTCCTTCTCTTCCAAAGGATAACTTCTCTGGAGATAATATTCCTGCTTGGAAATATTTTTTGATTTATTTATTTATTGGAAAGTCAGAATTAGATAAAAAGAGGGATCGACAGAGAGAGCTCCCATTCACTGGTTCACTCCCCAGAAGGCTGCAATAGCCAGGGCTGGGCCAAGCTGAAGCCAGGAACCAAGAGCCTCCTCCAAGGTTCCCAGGTTAGCAGCAGGGGCCCAAATAGTTGGGTCGTTTTCTACTGCTTTCCCCAGGCTATTAGCAAAGAGCTGAATCAGAAGTGGAGCTTCTGGGAAACCAACCAGTGCCCACATGGGATGCTGGTATTGAAGGCAGTGGCTTTACCTGCTATTCCACAACACCAGCCCCAAAGAATTTTTTTCTTTTAAGAAAATTTATGTATCATCCCATTCTCTTGTGGTTATTTATCTCTGCTGAGATGTCTGCTCTTAGTCTAATTGGTTTTCCTTTATATTCAATTTGATATTTTTTTCTTTCTTTAAGGTTCTCTTCTTGTCCTTAATTTTGACAATTTGATCACAATACATCTTGGAGATGTTTTTTTAATTGAGTCTACTTGAAGTCCTTGAGCTACCTGTATCCTGATGTCCATGTCTTTTCAAGACCTGCATAATTTTCAAACATTGTTTCATTTAGCAAATCCTCAATGTTTTTTCCTTCTCTTCTCCTTCAGGAATCCCTGTAATAGAAAGAAATGATCATGTAATGGTATCCCATATTTCATGTAGGATTTTTTCATTCCTTTCGCTTTATTTTTGTATGGTTGAGTCACTTCAAAAGACTTGTCCTCCAGACAAGAAATTCATTCCTTCACTTGATCTATTGTCCCATGAAGCCCTCAATCATATTTTTTTGTTTCAATGATTTAACTTATCACCTCCAAAATTTCTAATTTGTTCTTCTTAATCATTTATATATCCTTAGTGCAAAAATTCTTGACAAAATTCTGGCAAACTAAATCCAACAGCATCGCAAAATTTATATACCACTACCAATTAGGATTTATTCCTGCAATGAAAGGTGGTTTCAACATATACAAATCAATCATGTGATACACCAGATCAACAGATTGAAAGATGTAATCTACTAGAAGTTCTCAACAGATGCAGAAAAATATTTAACAAAGTTTAGAATCCATTCATAATAAAACCTCTCAATAAAATAAGTATAGAAGGATCTTAAGTCAATACAATAGAGGTCATCTATGACAAATATAAAACAAACATAAAAATCAATAGGAAAAATCGGAAATTTTTTCTAAAAGATTTGGTCAAATAAAAGGGCATCTATTCTCCTTGCTTCCATGCAATATATTACTGGAAGACCTCCAGAGCAGTTAGGCCATAAGAAGAATTAAAACCATCCAAATCATAAATCAAGAAATAAAATAGTCCCAGTTTGCAGATCACAAGTCTTACATATAGAAACTTAAAGACTCCACCAAAAACTACTAGAACTTTTAAGCAAATTAAGTAAAGTTGAAGCATACAAAAGTCAACATGTAAAAGCAACCTTTTGGGCTGGCGCCGCGGCTCACTAGGCTAATCCTCTGCCTTGCGGCACCGGCACACCAGGTTCTAGTCCCGGTCGGGGCGCTGCATTCTGTCCCAGTTGCTCCTCTTCAAGGCCAGCTCTCTGCTGTGGCCAGGGAGTGCAGTGGAGGATGGCCCAAGTGATTGGGCCCTGCACCCCATGGGAGACCAGGATAAGTACCTAGCTCCTGCCATCGGATCAGCGCGGTGCTCCTGCTGCAGCGCGCCAGCCGTGGCGGCCATTGGAGGGTGAACCAACAGCAAAAAGGAAGACCTTTCTCTCTGTCTCTCTCTCTCACTATCCACTCAATTCCCAACTAGACTCTCACTGGGATTGAACATGACAATAGTTCTGATCTGATTTCATCATCATTTAAAAAAAATCATCTATTATTTTTCACTTCATGTTTCTGTGTGGGAGCAAACTGTTGAAATCCTTACTTAATGTATACTAACCTGATGTTTGTATATTAAGATAATCGAAAATGAATCTTGACGTGAATGGAAGAAGAGAGGGAGTGGGAGGGGGAAGGGTTGTGGGTGGGAGGGACGGTATGGGGGGGAAGCC